TATGTATATATATATATTTTAAATCTCTTAAAAAGTAGTAATACACTATGGAGTTTTCTTAGCTTACTTTGTTTAGTGTCCTCATATTTTTTTATTTTCAAAGTTTCCTCGGTGGTCCTTAAGTCCAGAAATACTCTCATGAATGCTCTTGAGTCAGGTCTGTCACCAGACTAGAATCCAGAGAATTAAGAGAGCATGAGGTGCAGTAAACGTTAACAGGAGTGATGTTGTCAGGATGTTACTTTCTTACTCTGATTTTACTTTCTCAAATTCTGTAAATACTCTGCCACCTCTTGCTGTGTTGGAGTTTCTTTTATTTATTTATCTATTTATCTATCTATCTATCTATCTATCTATTTATTTATTTATTAACTCTGGCAGTAATGCCAGAAGTGGCATTTATGATTTACTGTGCAGTCCTTAAATTTTTTTCAGTCTTCCTGTGCTAGCATTTCTCTTGACTTTTTGGTCCCTGGGAACCACCTAGAGGACTAATTCCAAGAATTGGGACCTCATGGTACAGGTGTACGGGCACCTCTTGACGGTCCCTGTTTAAAGTCTAGTGTGCGAGCTCTGAGGCAAACAGACTAGTAGTGTGAGAAGGCAGGAAATAGTGTTTGCCTAAAGAAGGTACAGTTGTTGGCCCATTGTTCTGAGTGTATGAGGACTGTAATTTAAAAATAGCTTTCTGCTTTTCTGCTCCTTTCCTTTTCTCAAACCCTCTGCAACCTTCTAGTGTACTTTTACTGTATTTTTAGTGTTATCACAGCAGGTTGTGCCTCAATTTTCAGGAACAGCAAGGGTGAACACTAGTTCCTTCCACTAGCTTGGAGTGATTGGGAGAGGCAGACGTATTTGCATTTCAACTTATGTAGGGTTTTTTGTTTTAATTTGAGCATGAGGATTCATTCAGTTAAATTATTTTTCTGGCAACTACTGTTGTAATGTCTTAAGAGGTTATAAAAGCTCTAGATTTAGGAGATACAGAAGTGGAAAATGTTTTCAGCACTGTTTTCTGTTCTTCAGTGTTCTCTTACTTGTGAAAAGATAACGTACGTTGCCACGTACCGAGTAAAAAAATTACTTTAATTTCTGATTTTTAAGTGTTGGAAAGACAGATTTTTAAAAGTTGGTTCTGTGCTATCAAATCTCTTAAGCAGCTGTATCTTCTTACAATTTTAATGAGCTGTTACAATAGGAATGAATTTATGAGAAACTACTCTATTGCAAATTAGTATTAGCCACTAATTTCTTGTATTATTATTTATGATTGAGAAAATAGCTTTGAGAACTTCATAAATAATGAAGCCAGGTTTATTAAGTTTTACTGTGTTTGGATAGTTGCCTCATTAAGCAGGCTCTTCAGCACTGGTTTTCAGGTTAGCAAATAGCTATAAATGTCAGTTTATTCTCTTAAATGTCTTCTAAAGGGTATGCTTTGTCACATCTGTAGGAAACAGCTTATCAATAAAGAATAATTGCCTCATGTGTAATGACTGTAAGATGTAAGTTATTCCTCTATAACTCTTTTTTTTTTTTTTTTTTTTCTGGAGAAGCAGCATTTTTTTTCTTTAGAACCTACTGGTTTTTTCACTTTTAAATCCTTAGCTTCCTGTTACTGTTATCTGTGTTTTCAGTATTGCTTAGCACTTTCTTAGGTTTTGGGTTCATCATGACTTTGGTAAACTTAAGAATGAGCTCTTCTGTAAAGTTCAAATTTGTATTAATACAGTTGTTTAGCTGGATGTTCTAATTGCGTTGCAGACTGTTTTGTATATACACCTGTAAAGTACAGAAATAAATTGCATTTCCCTCTTCTGTGTTTCCTCAGCAGATGTAACTAAATTTCTGATGAATATTAGTGGTTAAATTATAAATCTGGTCTCAGTAAATCTTCTTTGGGCCGTCCTCCAGTAGCAACTATCTTGTGCTACGGAGCAGAGTTTATATTTTAAGGCAAAACTGTAATACAACCTAAAAATTACTGTACCCTTAGTATGTTTCTTAGTGCGCTGAATGATATGCTGGTACGTCAACAGAAAGGTAGCAAGCTCAGGACTGTTGGGCTTTCTTACCCACATGATGAGGTGGTGGTCCTTTTTGCTACGGCACCTCTTGGAATTTTAGTAGACCACCTCAGGCTGTCAAATGATTGAGGACAAGAGAGAGGTTTAATTGTATAGAGGGAAAGTGCTCCAAAGTGCATTTTGCTAAACAAATGGATAGATGATACTACCAAGGTCTTCCTTTCAAAGCAGTAAGCTTGTTTTCTTCTTAAATGACGATACAAAATGACTGGTTGATGAAGATGAATTAGTGAAATATCCATTATGAAACAATTTGTCTTGAAATAATGAAATTTTGAAGCCAGGCAGTAAGATCACCATGATATCGTAAGTCTCTCTATCCTCTGCTTCCCTTAAGGCTAAAAATGCGAATGGGAAGGCTACATACATTACAGTGTTCTAAAATACAGACTTGTTATGAGAAGGAAGATGACCTTTATACTGAGGCCTGTGGTTACAGGACTGAGGGGTAATGGTTTTAAACTGAAAGAGGGTAGTTTTAGATTGGATAAAAGGAAGACATTTTTTACAGCGGGAGTGGTGAGGCGCTGGAACAGGTTGTCTGGAGAAGTTGTGGATGCCTCATGCCTGGAAGTGTTCAAGGCCAGGTTGGACGGGGCTTTGGTATACTGTGCTCGCATACTAAAGATCACACGTACCCAAAACAGCTTAAGCACAAAACTGTTATGCAGATATATTTTAAGCAGTAGATAAAAGAAAGGTGATTTTGTTTTGAACAGCATATGGTGGTGAGTAGTAGTAATACTATCAGACTGCATATGGGTATGCTGATATGGTGAGATAGCATAATGGGATTAGGTCCTGTTAATTCTGTGTTATTACATAAAGTGATATATGTGGATTTTGATGAGATACAGTTCTTCTGTTAAAAAACATAGTTTGAGCTTTAGGAAGCTGAAGTTCTATTTCTGACTTTGTTGCTGACTTTTTAGATTTGGGCAGCTCTCAGGCTGCTGCTGTTTACTTATACTGCACTGGGTCTGGAGTCTTAAATCTTGTATAACATACACTGAGGTCCTTAAACAGGAGGAGCTATAGAACTGTAGAGGAGTGCTGTAAGATATCCTGGAGATGCTGTTTATTGCAAGTAGGCAGAGAATCATCTGCATAAACAATAAGGTTTGTTAATCATAGTGATGTGATTGAGGCATGTCTGGCTCTCTGATGGGATGACTGCTAATCTGAGCCATCTGTTTTAACTAATTCAAAGTTTAATCCCTCTGAAACTTGTAGTGAAGAAGAGGAGGAACTGGCACAGACATGACTACACAGAGTTGGATGATGGTTCTAAACCAGTGCAGGCTGGAACACGGACCTTCGTTAAACAGCTGCGGGCTCGCTCTTTCCCAAGGTACAGAAGCTTACTTACGCATTTCAGTGGAAAAAAAAAAAGAAAGAATTAAAAGAGAGGCATTGACTAATATTTCTCTGCTTCAGAAAATGAAGGTTGAGATCAATTTCCTCCTTCTTTGGAATACTCCCCAACCCATCCCTGTTTCAGATGGCCATATTTGCCTTTTCATGAAGTAGTTTCCCGTGTTCCGTTTTGCACTGGGATATGTTGTCTGTCAGGACTCCTACAGGGTCTGTGTGGAGTTTAGAGGTTTTTTTTTTGTTTTTGTGGGGGGTCGGGGCAGTACCATGAGTGGTACGTTTTTATTTTTCTTTTTTTTGTGCCTGACCATTCAGAATATTGTTTGTCTGTTCCTCTAGTCCAGGAACATTCTTCAGTTTCATTCCAAGTAACATAGAGCATTTATATAGCTGGTAGGCTATCCATTCTCATGTACTTTAGAGGAAAGTGGAGAAACGTGGTTGTACTTCTCTCCCGAGCTGTCTGTGATTAGCTATCTCACTGAAACATAATTACTCACCATTCTTTAAAGGAGTTTGATGTTGTTGTTACCAAAATGTATTTTAATGCCTTCTCTGAGAATTCCTTTTCCCCATCCTGTTAAATTACTAGATACAGTCATACGGAAAGACAATGAGTTCTCAGGTTATGCGTGACAGTAAATGTTTCCTTGCTGTGTTAGGTTAGTTGTTTGTCTTTTAGTTAAATGTTTAATACTATAGTACTTGGTCCACTTTTTTTTGAATTCAAATATAGTCATTCCAGTCTGTCCTCCCCCAAACTGTGATGTAATATTTTTCAGTAGTGCTTGGAGGATGCTTTTCTGCTAATATTCCATTATTTCTTTTCACCAGTGCTGATGAAGTCATTTTGAAAATGCATGGAAGCCAGCTGACACAAAGATACTTGGAGAAACATGGGTTTGATGTCCCCATTATGGTTCCTAAATTAGATGGTCTGGGGCTCAGACTTCCTCCGCCAACTTTCTCTGTTTTAGATGTGGAACGCTATGTAGGTAAGTGTCACTCTGGAATTCTTAAAAATTATCCTATCTGTAAATTAAAATAAATATTTGCATGGTTGAAAGTCTTCCTGGTATCAAAGTATATAGTCTAAATTGAAAGCTAGCAGAGAGTAAAATTAAACCTACATTTTATTGTTCTGGGTTCCCGCTCCCTTTGTTTTTGGTAGTGTTCTTTGTGATAGATATGTCATCAACTTTCACACATGTTAATTTTGGCGCAGGCCAAGCATGAAATTCTCTTTTTTTTCTTTTTCCCTTTTCTGCTACATATTGCAAACCAACAAAAGTATGATGACTGCTAAGATAATTCCTTTTCTGGCAATTGAGTGAATCACTCTTATGATCAGTAAAGTTTAGTCATTGGTTAGGATATTGCAAAAATTCCTAGAATTACAGAATGTTAGGGGATTGGAAGGGGCCTCGAAAGATCCTCTAGTCCAGCCCACGTGCCAGAGCAGGATCACCTACAGTAGGTCACACAGGAATGCGTCCAGGCAGGTTTTGAAAGTCTCCAGAGAAGACTCCACAACCTCCTAGGGCAGCCTGTGCCAGTTCTCTGGCACCCTCACAGGGAAAAAGATTTTCCTAATGTTCAACGTTGTGGACTCAGTAAATTGGAATTTCTGAATTAAATCTTTCTTCTGGAAAAACTTCCTATTGTGACTTCCTTTGACAGGAGAGCTAAAGCTTCCCAAGGGGTGTTTGTTTCTTATCAGATCTCTTGACAGTCTGTAATTGTTTCAGCCTCGTCTAAGTGGGCAGTACAGGGAAATAGAGACTGAGTCAGTTGCAACAGGACATAGTGCAGTTGAGAAGTCTGTGTATGGCCTTGCCTGTGTTCTTCTGATAACCTAATAAAATGATATGTGCTGAAAATAAGTTTTCTGTCTATCAACATTTTACAATGGCACCAGAATATAGGAAATATTTAGTACATGGAATGTTGTTACCATTATTTTCGTACTTCTGAATATTTTCTTTTGGAATACTGCCTCTTTGGATTCAGAGATAAACTTGATTTTCTCATCCTCATACATATATTTTTGACCTGCCAGCTTCTCCAGTTTAGGGAAAAAATTGAAATGCTACAGATTTACCTTTCTATTACTGACATTAAAAATAAGAAAGCTGAATAAATACTGTTAAAACTGGAATTTGTCAAATGATACTAACTTGCAATTTTAAAGTAATTGTATTTATAATGTACATGTAGATACATTCCAGCATTCTAAAATCAATTGTCAAATTTGGCTGTTGTGTAACTAGATGGACATAAACTAATTACTATTATAATGTTGTTGTTAGTCCTTTCTCTTGGCTAAAGGTTGATTCTTGCTTGTCTGCTGTTAATAGATGTGTCACTTTAAAATATGCAGTATGTAAACCAGGGAAATGAAGCACGCTCATGACAATTGTTCAGTGAAATTACCGTGTGCTCAAAAGTTATTCATGTATATAAGGAAGGGGGAGCTGGGCTTGCAGAATATTTGTGAGAGAGTACCTGAGTAGTTTTTAACATTGATAACTTTCCAATTATGGCTCAGATTTAGTTTGGTTTGCTATGAACTACAAGCTGCGAGCAATAGGATTTATTATTTGTAAAGAATTCTCAGTGGTCCTTATATTAAATGTCCAAGTGCTGTGGTGATGATTAATAGGAAGAGTGAGAAATAGAGCTGCCTTGATAACTTCTCTATGTTAGTCTTTCCAAATGCAGCCACAAACCCACTTTTTAAAAAAGCAATTGCAGTCCTTCTATACTGCTCTTTCTTTTTTGGTTAACCACAGGAAAAAGGATTTATTTTTAGAGTGTTTTCAGTTCTGTCCATAGCTGATTATAGCAATTAAAATTAGACCTAAGAAAAAGTTGGCTTGTACTCAGTTGTGTCTGTTCCAAGACAATACAGATAGTAGTGGAGTTTTTGTGCAGAAATGTTTTGATAAAGGCTGCAAAAAAGTTAAATTTCTCTGAAATGCTTTGGTTTTATCTGTGATAAATTTAAAGAAATAATCCTCTTTTTCACAGGTGGTGACAAAGTGATAGATGTAATAGATGTAGCAAGGCAAGCAGACAGTAAAATGAAGCTCCATAATTATATAAAATATTTCACAAATCCTGATCGACCAAAAGTATTGAATGTGATCAGCCTGGAATTCTCAGACACAAAGTGAGTATTGCCTAAAATTCCTTGAACATAGGAAGTGTTCAGAACAGTATGTGTAGGAATATAATGTCTGTAGTGGGAAAGATAGAAGACTGCATATTTTATGTAGACAGCTACTGTGATGTAATGTGAGCATAAAAAAAATTGTATTAATTCATAAGTAATAGCTTTGTGGGAAACAAATTAAAGACTATGGATTAAAAGGGTGTGTACTTACTCTTGATGGTATTTATGGTTCTTTTTTGTTTGTTTGTTTGTTTTTAAAGGATGTCTGAACTAGTGGAAGTACCAGATATTGCCAGAAAGCTTTCATGGGTGGAAAATTATTGGCCAGATGATTCTGTCTTCCCTAAGCCTTTTGTTCAGAAGTATTGCTTGATGGGTGTCCAGGACAGCTATACTGATTTTCATATTGATTTTGGAGGAACATCGGTTTGGTACCACGTTCTCTGGGTATGAAGGCTTCTTGATTTACGACTATGCAAAACAAAGTTTATTCAGTGTGCAGCCTTCTGCCATTGCATTATCACTTGTATGAAGTTTTGTGCTTAATAAAGCTGGAGGAGCAGCTTTAAAGTGAATTTGTGATCATTGGTGTTGCATATTTATGCTTTTATTTTAGCATGCTGTTGATGACTTTAGACTGTAATTGGCTGTGATCATTTTAGTAGACTGATAGGTGTTATAGTGAGGTTTCAGTAAGAAAAAATGAATTGAATGAAAATGAGTGACATACTCAACTTTTTATTCGTCTCACAAACTTTGACCATGTATATATCATAGAAGATGCAAAGTGGTTTCATCTTAGGTTTTCTCTTTTGGCATGTGTGCACATCCACATACATTGTTTTTTTTTTTATACTCTAGTGAAAAGTTTCGGTTGGCTTGTTTGCTGCTTCTACATCACAAGACACCCAACTGGTCAGTGTACTATTGACTGAGCTTTTGGTGCGTTGCAGTTGTGAAACACTGGGGCCAGGAAGCCCTGACGTTCCATAGTGGAAATACAGAGTACTTACGATTCAGATCAATCTGTTACTTCGTTAGGAATGACTCTGAGGTTGTTTTATGCTTCCAGGAAGACATTTAGTTATTTACTTGGTATTTGTTTCATAGGGTGAGAAGATATTCTATTTGATCAAGCCCACAGATGAAAATTTGGCTCTCTATGAGTCTTGGAGTTCATCTGTGACCCAGAGTGAAGTATATTTTGGGGACAAGGTTGACAAATGTTACAAATGTGTTGTGAAGCAAGGACACACTTTATTTGTTCCAACAGGTAAGATTTTACCCTTTTTATTAGGACTTAGCATGTTTAATCACCAGGAAGTAAGGGCATCCTAAAATGATTGCATTCTCAACGTTTGCTTTCCCCTAAAATTTTGGATAAGTGAGAATAATAAAAAATTTAGAAAATTAGAGTTTCAAAGTAAGTAATTAGGTTTTTAGATTGTGTTACAGTAATAACAGTTAGCAGGGGAAGAATGAGTGTTTCTTGCCCAATTATAAGACAACAAATTTAAAGCTTAATTTGGTATCGGGGAAATAGTTCCAATTCACAGAACACACTTTGTTCACTGTTTCAGAGATATCCAGACTGAGGTTATCTTAACTTTATAGTACAGTTTTGGTTTTACAGCTTTTTCATATTGTAAGACCTACTAGGCAAAACCATTACAGAAGTATCACATACACTTCTTATGCTGTAGGCCAGAGGATTAAAAATAGAAGTTGAGTGTTTTTTTTTTTTTTTTTTGTTGGTGGTTTC